AATTGTTTTGACAAATTACATTGCTTACATATACACACCTGAGTGTTACAACATTTTAATGATTCATTCAAGAACACACGGGACCGACGGTAGCAAGAGATTTAAATCGGTAAGGAGATCGGTAAGATCGGAAGAGCAATTATAAGTGACTTTTTCGATTGAATGAAAAAAGAGGGGGAATATTATTGCCCACGCGGAGAGGCGTAAATAACATTAAGCGCGTTCCCGATCGAGTCGGGAGGTCGTGGCGCACGCGATTTGTACGCGTTACATGCGTGCGGTGTTCGACCGGTGCTTTTATGTAACATTAAAATCCATTCGATCCGGCATGACTGATTTGGGTGATTTAACTTAATTAGGGCAATTTGTTGCTGTTCAACTTCGATTTGGGCCGCGCGACGTCTCGAGTGTATACATTATGAACGAATTTTTTTTTCTTTCTTTCTTTTGAGTCATATGCGCGTTTGAGTTGCAGCTCAATTAATTTCGGTCTGCCGAAGAAAAAAAATTGATTATGTTGCTTCGGTGTCGAAGTTTCCAAACACTTGAAACTGCTATAAATTAATCCGTTTTGTTGCTCTATTAAATTGTAATCTAGTAGTTTATTAGAAGTCGAAAAACCTGTAATTTTTTTTTCTCTAAAGTAAAAATAGAATCTAAAAAATTGTACGCAACTTCGAGCCTCGCACGAATCGTTTTTATGCAACATCTTGATCAATTACGTCCAATCGTCTGATCGCTTGCAATTACGCTTTTCTTTATTATTTACTAAAATATTCTATCGCGTTAGAATGTCTACTGAACTATTTTAAAACATATTTTTTAGTGAATCTGACCAGTTTAATTTTCTTTGGATATTCAAAAAAATGTTATCCTGTTGTTTTTATGCTCTATAAAATGACCTATTTTAAAGAGTAGATTTTTACTTATTTGAATATCAAATTTCTAACTTGCATTAGTTAACAGTATACAAATGCCAGGTTATATATGATGAGCCTATGCTTTCCAATGGTTAGGTTGTTAAAGTAATAGTTGTATTTGTATTTTTTTTTTTTTTTTATGAAATAAAGTTGAATCAACATAATTTTGATATTGTGAGGTTCTGAAAATGACAATGCATCTATGTAAAAAATTTTACCATCACAAAAAAACATGTCTATTTTCAAAAACGAGTAAAACTATTATTTTCACTTTGTTGCATACAATTCATTAAGAGGACAAAGGGATTAGAAATATTTCATTATTTAATAACAATACTACACTATTCAAAGAAAACAAAATTTTTCTAACATTTTTTTTCTGATTTTTAGTCTGTGTGAATTTATATTTTACCTATACAGTTGTTCCATGAATAAATAATAGTTAAAGTTTTTTTTTTTTGACACAAGTGGCATTTTAAAGTTACAAAATATAGTCATAAATACAGTGTAATTTAATTTAATATTAACTTTCATCAAATACAATTATTCATCTCCTTGTTTCATTACATTTTTTTTAAGAAGCAACGAACAGAATTGTACTATTTAAGGTTCTTATACTGTTGATTTATTTCATTAAATATATCAAATAATACTGTAATATAATACAATTGTTTTTTACGAACACCCTAAAATAACCACGTAATTTATCTTAACCAATGACACAACGAATAAAAAACTGTTACTTAAGGGACAATAAATTTTTCGAAAATTGTTACACTTATTATTAATAAAGAAACATCATTTATTTCTAATCAAATAACAACTATAAAATAACGTGCGTAAATCACACTAAAATACAGTCTTTAAACATTTTTGTGAAAAAACGTAGTTACTTTGTCAAAACCTTCAATCGCATCATGCTCACAAGTGCACAATAGCATGAAACTCTTTAGATCCTAAAAAAATTGTAAGCCCATCTTGATCGACCAACAAAGATACGAATCATTTTACACGAACAAAAAATTTTTTTAAAAACAGACGAATAAATACCATTAAAGCGTATACACTCACACGCTCCGCAGCATCAATTACTCGCATCGTCTTTTTCCTTCACAAATCATCCTCCGTGCACCCCTATATCTTTCCCGACGACGCATCCAAAAAATCCTCGTGGCACAAAGTTCCCCGCGTATAATATATTAATAGCCCAGCCGCGGCGCACAGAAGAAGAATCTTCGCCCACTCGCATTACACGCGCGACTCGACAGATAAGATAACGCAACTGCTAACGCTCCTTGCCCCCCTTTTTTCCCGACCCTTAATGAAGCACCGCATAAATTTGTCCCTATTCCTCGGCTAGGAGCCGACAATCGCACTGCAGTGCCGGAAAATAAGATCGCACCTCTGGATTTTCTCGCACCGAGTATGCTATTATCATTATCATTGTTTTTGTTTGTTTAACTTTTTCACGCGTGTAATTTCACGCACTGCTTGAATTGTGGCTTACCGTGGTAGCCAGTAGGGGGCTGGATTAATTTTAGTCGCACATATACACATATACGCGGGAAGATTAATAACGTGTGATACCATGCGCGCACATGTATATTTCACGCGTTTTTTAATAACTCGGAAGCGCGTGAATTTACACGCCAAGCGACGCGAGCGTTTTTTTTTTTTTTTCATCTGCCCGAGAGATTAAAGGCAGAAGAAGAGGAAGAAAGGGAGGGGAGGATAAAAAAAATGGGCCCTCCGACGCGGCCTTAATTACATCGGAACGACTACTATTTCGCGTCGTAACGATATATATTTCCAAGGCAACATAACCTCAACCGTCAGGAAAGAAACCGTGAATGAGCTCATCATGTCGCCCCGTGAATGCGCGCTTCGTTAAAGTATTTACAACTTCTCACTCCCCCCCCTTCTGCATCCGTTGAGCTGGTACTTTACAAACTTTGCGAAATTCGGACAGTCGTAAACATTAATTCGCAATTACGGAGCACTTATACGTATGGGTACAACAACGCTCGCCGTTGTAATGCTTTCTCGCGTGGGTTTCGCGGAGAGCGGGAAAAAAAATAATTAGCTTTTTTACCCTTCCCCCACCCTGGGTCACTTTGTTTTTTTTTTCCTCTTCTTCCTGTACTGCATTATCCGGGTTCCACTGATTTGTTCGGGCCCAAAGAGAGATTAATTTTTGGGCACTGGGTAAGACTGTAACGGTTCTCTACATTGTCGTGCTCCGCCCCCTTGGCCCTCTCTTTTTTTCCCGTGTCGTGAACTCGCTTCGTTTTATTTTTTAACCTTATTACGTTAAATTATGCCATAGTCGCGAGTTTAATGTGGATTTGATATCAAAGAGGGTACATTCCACTAGCATTATTCGGTTCATACTATTTGTTCCATTCTTCGAGTTTGTTCGCCTTGTTTCTACTGTTTAAATGTTGATCACACTGCACATCTGTTGATAAAATCGTTTGTAAGATTGGTACCAGTATGATGAAATCATGCATTTCCTAGAGATACAATTCTCACGCTAATATTATGTATTTATTTTTTGATGATTTTTATCTAAAAGCGAAAAAACTATGCAACCCATCGATCGGGACAGTGGAATGGATGAACCAAAAAAATAATATAAACGATACGTGGAGTGGTTTAACATACCTAAGATCAACTAAAATATTCTAAAATTGATTCAGTAAAACAAGATTGGACCAGCGTGCTAGGCATCGGAATGACGTCACCTAACCTCCACGTAAACGCAAAGATCGAGATAAAAGCGATGTATCTACATCGGTCCCTTTAGTAAAGCGATGCAAACTTGATACATTTTTCCATAAGTACACAGGTGGGATGGGTGGATTTCAATCTTATCAACAAGAATCTCAAAACTGACTCGTCAAATCTACGTTCTGACACAACGTATTTTCTATCACTTGATTGATGAATATCTTACTAAGAATTTGCAATCCATGATCGAATAGTTTGACGAGTGGAAAAACAGCGTGCAACCGTGTACAATGACGCAGCCTAGACGTACAATCGGTCAATAAATATTTATGAACTTTTCGCATACTCTTGTTGTGTACACACAACGACTGCTTGTATACACACGTATTCGCACGTGTATAGGCTCTCATGTCGCTTCGGCTCATTGTACAAGCGCGTGTATTACATATTTCACCCGGCGCCGGCCGGCTTCTCGCCCCCCCCCCTCCCAATCCCTTCCTTCTGACACGCTTTTTTACTGTTCATTGAAATTCAAATATTGCACACTAACCCCCTTCCTTCTTCGGTTATTCATGTATTATTACAGGACCCGCATGCACGTTGCGTACCCGTATAATTATGCAATTGATATTGTTGATCTTAATAACTGTTATGAGAAAGAGTGCATATTTTAATCTCGATGTTGCTTCTTTTTTTTTCCTTTAAGAGCAGCGATTTTGTGCGTGAGTGAGCTCAGTTTGAGACTGCTCATTATAATCTCGTATGTTCGATTACTGTAATTAACGGTTATATGAGGATTTTTTTTTTAAAAGGAAGAGTGTACTTTTAAATGCAACTTCGAACGTCATTGAACCAAAACTTTGATTGCAGAATCATTACCAATCCATTTAATTTTAAAATCAGATAGAACTATTTATAATTTATAACCTCAAAACTATACAGCTGACTAAGGTGTTACTTTCAGTTGACCTTAATATCGTATGATTAATTGATTCACGAGTAATTGTATTTAACCAACTTGAGTTTGTAAAAAGTGTATCAGTACAATTATTATACAGGCTAAAAGGCTAAATAAATATGCAATGACTGTAACCACCTGTTAGTAATGTCATCAAATTGGAAAATGTCGCTCACGTGAATATTTTTCATAATGAGTATTTTCTTTTTTGTTTTCAAACGATCATTAACAATATTTCAGAGCTAATAACCCAAAAAAATTATTAAATTCAAGGCACAGATAGCGAAAATACATCTTCGATAAGAACGAAGAACAAAAAAAAAAGAAAGTCTAATTAAAAATTTTTCGTAAGAACTGCACCAAGTAACATCTACATAATTTCGTCCTCGCAGGAAAACGGCTGTTTGTACTCGCACATAAGATGGGGCGAGGCCTTCGTCATAGTCTATAGTGTGACGTGCAAGCGCAGCTTCCAGGAGGCTCGGGGTCTGCTCAAGCAGCTCACCGATCTCAGGCTGCCGTCCTATTTCACCGCACTGCTGCTCGGCAACAAGCGCGATCTCGATCACGCTCGGTGAGTACTGTACCTACATTGTTCCACGTGTGTATGTTATCGCTGTTGTTGTGGTTTGTACAAGATTTTAATTTTGTTTTTTGTTGGCGAGTTTCCGGTAAAAATCGGTTTGAGATAAACGGACGATTATGCATTTGAAAATCAAAATCCAACTGAAAACAAGCGCGATACCATCCATCCTTGTGAGTGGATGTTCATTGTTGAGAACACGATTACTCTGACGAGAAAAAAAAAACACGATCTTTTCCAAGTTACACGGTTGCTGATTTAAATTAACCTTCATACCTGCTGCTATCAGTCACATCATATTATACCCATCATAAGCGCATATAGTGGAACTTTAGTATTTTTCCGAAAATTCAATTACGCACACCCGCTCTCTGACCCTTTTCATGCAACCAAGGGAGATAAGCACGCACGCATTCTCGAAACGTCACGTCATCAAGCCCAGCAATGCATAATAACCCTGACCTCGACCCTGACGTCTTGACATCGCGGGATGAGCTAGGCTGACGATTCCTCGAACGTGTACCGTCGGATAAGTATTTGCGCTCTCGGATAAGAAGACTAGCTGATGCGTATTATAAGACAAAGAGACATCCGTACGGAGGGCAGAAGAAGACGAGCGCGCGTAAGAAGAAATGAAAAAATAAACAAGTACACGTGTGTATACATGTATACACGTGAGCACGGGGAAGAACCGGTTTTTCTCATTTACGGGCTCGCGCACGCGCATATAAACTCGGCCGGCTCTTCTCTCTCTCTCCTACATTATAATCCGCCCCGAGCTTTTATACGAGCACAATGCGATTTGAAAAGATGAGAGATGCTCTTACGGTGGCGCGCTTCTGTCACACTTCTTTTTTCTTCATCCTTTTGTCAAAGCCGAGTGCCGGGTTGTCGCGTGGGTGTCCCAATATAATATTCTCTACACTCGAACAATGAGGGGTTTGCAGATTTTTTTTTTTGTTTCGCGTTTTTTCATCGCCGGTAGCGACAGCTCGAGGCGTCGAATGAAATAAACGGCTTCGTTTCGCATATCACGGTGACTACATACGATACGGTGTTGAGGATGCGCTTCGCTAGCGACACGGCTGCTTTGATTTATAATGCATTGCGTATAGAGCCGCAAGTAATTGTTAGAACGTATCCCTTACGCGACGGGTGATCGATGACCGACTTGGCGCTGAAATTGAATTTCAGTGAAATTTTTGTTTGTTGGTGTAGGCTTTGCTGGTATTTTGTTTGTTTGATTTTTGTTTCTTTCAAGTTTCTGTTCGGAATAATTTTTTTCTTTTGTTGATTGTGAGAATTTTAATAGAAGTATATAAACAACAAAGATGTGGGCTGTGATTTACGTTGGTTCGAAACAAGTTTGAGAGTGTCAGTTATAATTGTTGCGCCCATGGAAATCCATTAGTTTTTAAAATAAAGTCAATTCTCACATAATTTAATCGGAGAATACGAATTAAGGACGTTCATCACAATTATCGTGGGGAAACTAGAAAGCGATTAGGGGGAGCGAACATGCGGGTTTTGCATGGACGAGTATACTTATATACATTCAATTGAGCCTGTTCTTTTATTTTATTGCAAAAACAACTTGTCGATCCCTCTAAAAATTTAGTATACTAATTCTTTTATGACGTTGCGTCATGCAAAAAAAAAACTTGTACCCTTATACTTAACTAACAGAGCGTGTATTGGATTGTAGTAAACACTATTTACTGATTTAAGCCAGTTCTGAAGAAATTTGCAACAATTTTAGGGGCTTTAGGTCATCACCACATTCGTTTGTCTAATTCAATTGAAAACACGCTCTGTTAGTTAAGTAGAGGTACCAAACTATAAAGTACTCTCCTTATCTGTAAACTTGAACTGTATACGTTGAGTAAAATATACAACCATATATAATGTATGCCTGTGTTGATCGATGTGTGGAGTAATACTTGACAGCTTTGATGTCAAGATGACTGCACTCCCACACTCTGGGGGTAATTTTTCATATGATTCCTACTTATGGGTCTTCGAACGCTTGATTTTTGAAAGTGACTGAAGTATCGAAGTTTTATTTTCAAACTGTGGTAATAGTGTATAACTGATACGTAAACGTCATGAAATTGATAGGTTCTATCCAGCTAGAGGGTTACTGCTACTACATGTGTATGAAAAAAAAAAAATTCTCAACAACACCCCAACTTCCTTTTACGACGAAAAAAAAAAATAAAACGAACTCTGTTTTACTCAACATCCAATAAAAAAAACACCATGAATTGCTTCAGAGTGCAAAAGTCTCAAATCACTGTAAAAAAAAAGACACCTCGTAAAACTGACGGCAGTGGTAACTTACCGTTTTAACCGTATACCGCTCGTATATAAATACACACGCGTGCGCGTATAAACTCACTGTCTCCGCCGGACTCTTCGGGAGTCATAATTCTCACATCCCCGTAATATAATGAACAAGTACGTGTGTAGGTTGGTACTTACGCACGCGAGGCGTACACAAAAGCGAAGACGCGCGAGCTACCCGCAAGCTCTGCTTGTTTGAGTGTACATAACGGGTTTTGTGCGATAACTGGTATAAGGAGAAGTCAAAGCGTTGCGGCTATTATTGGCTTTGATTGCGTGGAAATTCTAAGAGAAATCGCTACTGTATCGTAGCGACATACTATTATTGTATAGTAACCGTTGTTTACACGACGCGTTTTATAAATCGTGTAAAAGATGTTAGCGTTACTTACTGGCACTGTTCTATGAGAACTTTGATTTTCGATCCGAGGGAGTAATTTTGTCAAAAACCGCAAAGCACAGTTCTCGAATTTAAATGAATTACACGATTGAGGTTATGCTTTCAGAAATGTTTAGCACAGTCGTTTTTCTCGCAAAGAGTAGTTACATTTTAGGTATTTCTTAGAAGGAGTAACAGTACCATTTTTAAATTTTACAAAATTAGTTACATTCGTGTTTTTGTAAGAAAAACTTTTTTATGCTTCATAACGAGAATTAAGATATAGTAAACTATAACATTATTAAAAATTGATACTCGTAAGTAAATAGGCGGATGGATTTTTTATCAAACTAAAATAAGAACCGTAAAATCCCAAATTGTTCTGTTACTTCCTAGTGGTAGATTCACTTTTTTTCAGTAAAGGAAGCACCAAAATTTTTTTTTTGAAACCCTTAGAAAATAGTAGAACAAAGCATTTCTAAATACTCTTATACATTTAACGCAATCGCACGATATATCTTTTTCGACATTTTCCTTGCATAACCTCCGAAACTATTTATCCGTACGTATCGTAATCAAGATTTAATGACCAAATCAAAGTTGGATGCAAAAAAGCAAAAAGAGAACAAACATGATTTTCCACGTGTGAAACCAAAGCCTCGTGTGGTATACGGCGTTCCCAAGATGCAATGGTCATGCAAAAAGGTGGGCCTCAAATCTTTTCTAAAGCCCATAATATACACCCAGTTTATGTCAGCGTCTCGATTTACGATATTGCAACGTCAATCGCAATTGATAGGCGAACCTCTCCAAAAGAGAGGAAGGGGGGGGGGGAGTTGAGTGTAAAATGAGACAGTCCACAAGTAAACACAAAACCCGAGACGTTTTAGACTGATTGCAGACATTTTTTTCGGTCTGTGGTGGTGGTCTGCCGATTTCATTAGGTGCTTGCCACAAAGTTGCTTCACCGTATCATTGGTCTGAATTTTTTTCGTGATCATTTTATTTGCACCGGAATTCAAAGCTGCTTCGCAATGTTGTGTTTGAGGTTAGGTTCGCGTACATGGATCTTCAATCGTTTTTTTCTTCCCACGCACTAACTTTCATCAATTTATTTTGAGACAAGGAGAGTTTCCCGAAAGGAAATTTTCATCCGAAACGTGTATCAGAGAGAATTTATCGTATACATGGTTAGGAGCAAAAATGAAAGTAAGCACCTACTTGAGTCTCTGTCGGGGAAAAAAGGCGGGAGAAAAACGAACGCGCGAGTGTCATTATGACACTGGTACACGCGGAACACGCGCGTGCGGTGTCTGACCCATATATCAAAAAAAAAAAAAAAAAAAAGGCCAAATAAATAAAACGAGGTTTAAACGAAGAAGGCACGCCGAGGAAAAAACAGACAGTGCAGAAAAAAAAGGAGGAAAAGAGAAGAGGTAAGAGAACCTCGGCAAATAAATCAAAAGCCGCAGGAGAAAACAAAAGTGCGCGTGTATCGGTGTACGCATCCACAGCTCTGTGTATGTTTTATGCGAACAAGTGCGAAAAAAAGGGGAGACTGCGTGCTAAAGTACCTACCACATCAAAATTCGGTCGCGAAAGATTGACGTATCGATTTCTCGTCCACGAGAAACTTTTTACCAGCATACGTGACTCTTTGTAATCTCGAACTTAGCTATATACGCTTATTATACGCGTACAGTCAGGAGGGGGGCTGAGGGGGGCCGTACATATAATGTACTTCAAAGAACCACAATTAATCACTGCAAGTAGAAGAAATTGGAGTACGTAGCCCTTATCTGCGTACAGCGATAAAACAGTTTGTCCGCGGACTAAATAAAAGGACATTATAACTGCTGCTACGTGCTACTATGCTACTTGTCGCTTGAGAAATATCGACTTAAGTATTAGGTGTACGAATTTGTTCTCTCCGTGTACGCGAAAAGACGCGAGACTTTCTCTCTACGGGCACGTGGTTGCTAGTGTCCTTGAAAATCGTGATGTGCATCACCAGAGCGCGAATCGCGCAGAAGATCGTTTAGTTTTCTTGTTCCCAAAAGAGACTCGGCAGATAACGTATCGACGCTTTCTGGTTTTAGGTTAAATATGACGGGAACTCGTATACGATAATTTATTGTCCTTGGGATGTCCATAATCGCTGAAGCAATGTACACTTGGACAGCATTAGAGGGATTTTCGTAAAAGTATGAGGAGTCGTCACCTGATTTTTTTCAGTGATTATTCATAAAGTTTATTTCAAACATTGAAA